AGAGAGAGAGAGAGAGAGAAGAGAGGAGAGAGGAGAGAGGAGAGAGGAGAGAGGAGAGAGGAGAGAGGAGAGAGTTCTGTGCTGTCATAAAACACTGACCAAAAGCAGCCTGGAGGAAGAAAGGTTGTCTGGCTTCCGGCCCATCACCAAGGGAAAGCCAGGGCAAGAACTCCAGCAGGAACTGAAGGAGAGACCACAGCAGAATACTGCTGACGGGCTTGCACCCGCTCGATGGTTTGCTCCGCCTGCTTTCTTAGACCACATGGGCTTGGCTCTCCCATATCACTCATCAGTCAAGAAAATGGCCCCCAGACCTGCCTACAGGTAAATCCAATGGACGGACGCACTTCTCCAATTCATGTTCCCTCTTCCAAGGTGACTTTAGTTGGTGTCAAGGTGACAAAAATTAACCTGCCTGTCATCCTTGTAGATGACAGTGTCGTGTCCAGATGTCACTTAAAACAAACGAGCTCTTGCAACCTGAGAGTCACGGGCTGAACACTCCTGGAAGGTAGTCCCTGCCTGAGGGAGGCTGGAATTGTAAACATCGGACACCTGGTGCTCACTCTGCTTCTCCACAGCCCCGGCATCCATCTTTATCCTCTCCCACCCTGCTAATGCCGAATTAGCAAACGAGAAATAACCGTTGAACGTGCTTTGCAAATTCCAGCACAGATGTTTGCTATGGAGGAGGCCGGAGGAGCTTCGCAGAAGGCTGTGGTGACCTCATGACTCCGAGCAAGCAGCGAACTAAATAGACGTGTAGGGACGCATCGTCGCTGTGCATCAGACCGCTACATCTGCAGTGGGGACGCAGTTACATTTATGCTTTATGCGCCGAGAAGGTGGATGTGATGCCCTCCCCCCCCCCCGCCCCCCCAGATGCTGAAGGTGATTCCACCGTTGAGCTGACAAAAGGTGGAAGATGAGTGGATCTGCGTCTGCAGAATTCTTTTGACTGCCTGAAGCTGTGCATCCCTGCAGGTCTGCTCTCTGACTAAAGCCCTGAGGGCGAAGAAGCCTGAAGGACACCCCAAAGAGACCCTGGTGACTTGCCAGATGCTCAAGATGCAAGAATTCCGGATTAAGCAATGGACTGCTGTGAAACAGAGCAACAGGTTTCCTGCGTGGGCCCGTCCGGCCTCTAACTCCTGCTGAGAGCGGACTGCATTCACCCCGTTAAAAACTCGCCTTCAAACAACCCTGCAGCTAAGATGCTTTGCAGTGGCGAGGCAAAGTAGTGTGGGTTTGTTTTGTCTGTCCACAAGCCCAGCTGACCTGCTTTCAACGTTGGCACAGGAAAACAGACAGATGTTTGTGATTAAATCCTAGGCAACTATGAGCAGAGTGGGGACTTGTGACAGAGATAAAGCAATGATTTTATCAGGCTGCTATCAACCCTTCCTGTAAACATTCCCCATGTCCCTTCCCCAGGCCCCCTGTCCATCACAGCCAGAGGCACACTCACAGGTCCCAGCACAGTGTACTAGTGAGTAAATGAATATCCCTGCCTCTCCAGGGAGCACCCTGGGAAGAAAGGATGAGGTGGGATCCAAAGTGGATAGAGGCCAATAGCAGGGTGCCCTCAAGGGGGGTTCATGTTACCAAAGGGACTGAGCACCAGGCGGGAAGCACTCACTATTGGCACAGCCCTCACCCAGAGGTCTTGAGGAGACAGCAAAGAGCAGCTGGCAAAATGCCACAGGCAATATCCGTGGAGCCTGCAAGACCAGGGGACCGACCATGCTGAGCAAGTGTCACCATGGCAACTAGAAAGCACTCACAGGAAGCGGCTTTCAGAAACATGGCTGTTGCTTCTGCACAAAAGAACCCCAAACTGCAGCAGGAAATCAGGCCAGAGCGAGGAGACACAGGGCAGAGTGCAGGGGACAGAGTGTGTGTGTGTGTGTGGGGGGGGGGGGTTAGGACACTGACGAGACCCACGCACAGGGAGCCCTGTTGACGCCCAATAAAAGGCAGAACCAGCGGGCAGCGGCAGCAAATGCCTGTAATCCCAGCACTAGGGAGGCAGAGGCAGGCAGATCTCTGAGTTCGAGGCCAGCCTGGTCTACAGAGCGAGTTCCAGGACAGCCAGGGCTACACAGAGAAACCCTGTCTGGTGGGGGAGGGGCGGGGGAAGGCAGAACCAAATCAGCTAAGTCCCGACTGAGGCTCAGTTCAGCTGCTTTCCCAGAACACAAAAGAAGGAAAAGACAGAAATTCGGAAGAGAATATAACACAAATGGAGTGTGAAGCCAAGCTGCTCACTAAGAATTATTATTCTCCAGGCTGGGGCTGTAGCTGGTGGAGCACTGGCCTAGCATGTGCAAGGCAATAAGGTCAATCCCTAGTGAAAGAAAAGAAGGGGGGTGGTAATCAAATTGAAGAGAAGAAAATGTTGGCTTAGAAACGGGCAAATTCAAGAGGCTGAAAAACCAAGAGTTCAAAAGTGTGCCCCTTGGTCGGTAAGGATCAAGAGGAAAGACCCCCTTTCCCAGACACTTTTTAACTGTAAGGACTGGGAAGGGGGGCTGTGGGAGTTTGAGTGTAATTGTCCCCATAAACTCGTGGGGAGTGGCACTATTAGGAGATGTGGTCTTGTTGGAGGAAGTATGTCACTGTGGAAGTAGGCTTTGAGGTTTCATATGCTCAAGCCATGCCCCGTGTCTCAGATAACTTCCTGTTGTCTACAGGTCAAGATGTAGTACTCTCAGCTCCTTCTCCAGCACCATATCTGCCTGCATGCCACCATGTTGCACCATGATGATACTGGACTGAACCTCTGAAATTGTAAGCCAGCCCAATTAAATGTTTTTCTTTATAAGAGTTGCCATGGTCATGGTATCTCTTCACAGCAATAGAAACCCTAACAAGATGGGGATATTTCTAGAGCGTAAACAGCAAGTGATAAAACTCCTTCAGATGTCTCTGTAATATTACATTCCAGAAGACAAGGAGGCATTTATTGAATTTCTTGTTTAAAAGGGCAAGACCCAGGATTAGAAAGCCAGTGAGGTCACCACACGTGGGGAAGCCTTTGGAAGGCACACTCAAGTCCCTTGGCTTGGGAAATGCAGTCTTCTGGGTAATTATGGGTAACCGGGTGGAGAGCAGGCAGTTATGGGGAAACTGGCAGAGCCAACTGCTTTCTTAGGAAAAGGGCACATTGTTGGTTTCTGAAAACCGGTAAGTATGCATTTGAATCAAAAGAAATTCCAGAATCTAATCCGAACGCCACCAAAGCACTTCAGTGTAGGCGGGACTTCAGAACATAGCAGCCTAAGGTCAGCTTTATGACTGGACAGGAACCCCAGGGCAGCCCTCTTTCTGCAAAATAAAAGAGGTTCATTCAAGACAGTACTGAAATAGCTGTGTATCAATGGACCGGGGTGGGAGCTGAGTCATCTGAAATCAGTACGTCGTGTATGACGTCTGCTGGTTTGGGAATACACTCTGGTCTGTCTTGCGGACATGCATACGTTATTATGGAAATCCTTATCAAAGCATAATGTGCAGAAATAACCACCCCCACCCAGCTGCCCAGACTCTCAACTCCAGCCCTCTGTGACCTTGAGCGCACACCAGGGTAGCACTTGACCTGATTACCATGCAAAGTGCCAGCCTGAATAAACTGCCTTCTGGATGGTGACGGGCTCCAGCTGAAGTAAGCAGATGACCACAGAGAGTACAAACCAAAGACATCATAAAATAAAGAGCTCACTAATTCTCCCAAGGGTTTTAAAGGCAAGAACTGCAATCAAGTGCTGACCACAGAATGAGCCGGACCTTCCACAAGAATGATGCACACAACTGCATGGAAGCATTCTCTTTCTGGGGATGCTGGCATGAGCCTGCTAGTCCTACCACTCAAGAGGTGGAGGCAGGAGAATTTTGAGTTTGAGGCCAGCCTGAACTACCTACTAAGGCCCTGTCTCAACAATGTGTTCTCTTTAGTAAGCACCAAAAAAGTATTCCAGTGCTGAGCTCAGTGGACACAGTCAGTGTCACAAGTCTCAGGATCTGAGTTCGGATCTCTAGACCCCACATAAAGTTAGATGTGACAGCGGGAGCCTGCAATTCCAGCAACGGCCAGATGAGAGGAGGCGGAATTCTCAGGAGCTGGAAGGCCAGCTACCCTGGCATGCACAGTGGTGAACGTCAAAGAAATCCCATCTCAGACAAAGGTGGAAACAGGCCTGGAGAGCTGGCTCCGCAGTTCTGAGTGCATACTGCTCTCGTAGAGGACCCGGGTTCGGATCCCAGGACTCACATCAGGCAGCTCACAACTTTCTGTAACTCCGGCTCCCAAGGGATATGATGTACCTGGCCTGTGAGGGCACCAACACATAGATGTGCACATACCCTAGACATACACAATTAAAAACAAACATTTAAAATAAAAAGGTGGAAGGTGAGGACCAA